GACCAAACTATAATTAATTAAAAATACAATAATTACTTTTATTTTCAATTTCTACTGATGTGTTCGATGAAAAAAAAATCTCCAATTGTGAGCCTATAGAAAATGCAAACGTTGGGTTGCCTTTATTTTTTTCTGGTCTAACTATATTGTTTCCAGGTATAAACTGGTATGCTGGTCCTATTTATCTTCACCACTTCTTGTTTAATCTATTGATTAAACATACAACTGTAATAATTCAATGTTCGTCGTGGCATATAGCCAGGAAAGTAGTTGTTTTCTATTGAATTAACTGAAAAAGAGTAAATATTCTCATCACATAGAGAATGCGAATTCTCAATAAATTGCTTTATATAAATATATATCCATTTTTGTATGTTCATAATTTATCTGAGAATATTCCTTTTCAACACTTTCATACCCAATCAGGGGGTTCAAACTTGAACGATGGAAACTTGTGATTTTTATAGACCTCTAATCGCAGATTCGTGATAGAGTCTCAATTCAGAATTCATTTCCACGCCCTGTATGATGAATGTCAATTTATCATACACCCAAAAGCATACAACTGTAAGTGTTGTGTTATTGCGAACACAATGATAGACTGTTGGTTGCGCCAAGTCTGTCCTGAATGACATTTGTCGAATTTTATGGAAAATAAAATTTTAGTGCGACTGTGAAGGTGCGACAATGATGTCCGAGATAAATATCCCGTGCGATAGACGAAGACAGAGCCTCGTTAAAAATATAATCGAGGTCACTAAAGAAGCATTTCGCGCACTAGATACAAAAATAACTATTTCAATGAAAAAAAATCAAACGCGTGTTGTCAATATCTATTACCTGCTTCAATAATTTTCTAATGCATGAACTACTAATATTCGCACCCTCTTACATCCTCTGTCTTCGTCTATCGCAAGGGATATTTTCCTCGGACATCTCTGTCGCACCTTCACGACCGTCATTGAGGACAGACTTTTTGCAGGCAAGCCTATATCATTGTGATCGCAATATGTGACCGTGTGGTGGTCGGATTAGAATAACCCCACGGTAAGTCCTGCCTGTCGTAGAAGGCGACTAAAAGGACGCCAATAGGTGGAAGATGGTTAACGCCATCGCCCGGTGCGATACCACCACATCAACCATAGGCACTGTGAAATGGGTATACTTACCCGTGTTTCAGTAGCTGGTTGATGTTCCGGCCAACCCAACCCAACCCAATTTCCTTTTCCTTTTCCTTCCACGCCAACCTCCCTTCTTGATACAGAATACGCGATGATGAGTTCTCCTCAAGTGAAATTATCCGGAAGTAAAATACCTCTCCATTCGGATTTCCGGACGAGAGGTGCTAGAGGGGGTTCACCATCGGCTCAAAAAGTCCTCAAGATAGACCTATGCAACATCCGAGGTCTAAGTAAGAACATCAACGATGTCCATCGACACCTTCAAATTGAAAAGCCAGACATATTGGCTCTTACTGAGACACAGGTCAATTCATCCACCAATACGACCTATCTGCTCTGTCCTGGGTACGAACTCCACACACGTTTCAGATTCAAGGGAGGTCTCTGCCTCTTCTTTAAAACGAATCTTTCATGTCAACGAGAAAAAACTTTGGAACCAAATAAGTTCGATGTCATGTGGTTCAAACTCGATAGCCAGAAACAGACCAAATACCTTTGTTGTCTCTACTTATCACCAAATGATCCATCCTATGAAGAGCTCTTCGAATTCTTGTCTCTGAAGCTTGACCAAATTCAACAGAACCATCCAGCAGCAGAAATCATCATCATGGCCGATTTCAATGTACACAACACTGCTTGGCTCGTACACTCTAACAGAACGGATGAAGCTGGGCGACAAGCCGAAGCTTTCGCCATCACTCACGGCTTAGAGCAGCTTATCAAAGAACCCACACGAATTCCCGATGCCAATAACCATTCAGCTAACATACTTGACTTATTCCTCACTAATAATTCAGCACCCTACACCATAGATGTACGAGCTCCACTTGGCAATTCTGACCACACACTCATCTCCACAACCTGCCCATTTTTCATTCCATCAACTGCTCCGGCACCCCCACGTCTTATATGGCATTACAATTCAGGAGATTGGGACGGTCTCCGCATGTTTTTCTCCGAGTTTCCTTGGCATAGAGTATGCTTTGACTCTGAGGACCCTTCACAGTGTGCTGCGGAAATATCCGAGATCATCATGCTCGGAATGGACACATACATACCTCATTTTTCGAAAAGATCATCACCTTCGAAACCCTGGTTCAACAAAAACTGTTCTAGAACTGTTGCCTTGAAACAAACAGCCTACCATCGCTGGCGCAAAAACCCTAACCTCGCGACTAGAGCAGAATACGTTGATGCCAGGAATAACTGCAGCCAAACAATAGATGCTTCGAAAGAAACATACAATGCCAAGATAAGATCGAAACTCATAGATTGCCCCAATGGCTCCCGTTCGTTTTGGTCCCTTGCTAAAGCGGTCGGAAGAAATTTCACTAATAGTTCATTTCCACCACTGTCCAAATCCGACGGCACATTAGCAACAACATCGCAGGAGAAAGCGAATATTTTTGCAGAGATGTTCGCAGCAAACTCTTCTTTAGATTCCCAAGGAAAACTGCCGTCAGACATTCCACCCGTTGAGAGTCGAATGCCCGAAATCGTCTTCCGTCAACGCACTATCAGACGAATTTTGCTTGGTCTCAAAACGAATAAGGCTAACGGTCCTGATGGAATTCCACCCATTATCCTCAAAAAATGTGCACCAGAATTAACACCGATTCTCTGCAAGTTGTTCAATATCTCGTACAGGTCGGGTATTTTCCATCATGCTGGAAGACAGCTAGAGTCCAACCAATCCCCAAAAAAGGGAACAAGAACCTGCCCAACAACTACAGGCCCATTGCCCTGTTATCAGTAATTTCCAAAGTGATGGAGAAAGCCATCAATATTGAGCTTATCAAATATCTGGAGAGCTCAGGAATCATCAATGATAGACAATACGGCTTTCGCCACCGAAAATCTACTGGAGATCTACTTGCCTACGTCACCCATTTATGGCAATCTTCAATAGAAAAACACGGGGAATCTCTAGCTGTCGCGTTGGACATATCGAAAGCATTCGACCGTGTTTGGCACGAAGGACTCCTCCACAAACTACCATCATACGGCTTACCACCTCAGCTATGCCATCTCTTATCGAGTTTTCTTTCAGGCAGATCGCTTCACGTGGTGGTGGACGATGTATCGTTTGATACCATTGGCATCAATTCCGGCGTTCCACAAGGATCAATTTTGGCACCAACATTATCCCTGCTTCATATCAATGATCTGTTGGGAGTAACAAATTGCCCCATCCACAGCTTTGCAGAATTCCCATTTCTTCCCAGGAAACTAAGAACTCACGGCGCAGGCAGGTCAATGCTGTCAATGAAGATCTTGCTGAAATCACAGCCTGGGGAACGAACAACCTAGTTGAATTCAACGCCACCAAAACTCAAGCCTGCATTTTCTCTAGAAAGGCAGAACTCAGTATGCCCGATATTGTAATGTCTGGCTCCACCATCATCATCAAGCCCACCATATCTATGCTCGGTATTTCCATCAGCAACAGTCTTTCATGGGATAATCATGTCATCTCCATCGCAAAAGCTGCTTCACAAAAACTCGGATTCTTGTTCCGTGCGAAAAGGTACTTTACACCTCAACAGATTCTCATGATCTACAAAGCGCAGATACGGCCTGTTTTAGAATACTGTTCCCACATATGGGGTTCAGCACCAAAACATACGCTGATGCTCTTAGATTCCATCCAGAGAAGAGCCATTCGTCTGGTGGGTGACGCCACACTCACTCACTCTTCGACATCATTGGAACACCGTAGAAAGGTCGGCGACCTTTCACTTTTCTATCGATACTTTCACGGGAAATGTTCTTCGGAAATCTCTGCAATCATCCCCTCACTAGCAATACCAATCAGACGAACTAGACAAGCCCAGTCAGCACATCCTTTCGTTGTCAACCTCGAAAGATGTCGAACAGCACTTTATCAAGACTCCTTCATCCATAGAACGGCTAGGCTCTGGAATTCATTGCCTGTGGAAGTATTCCCAACAACATATAATCTCCAAAAATTCAAAAAAAATTCCAATACCTACCTCCTGTCCCTATCCTCCCTAGGAACGCACGATATTCTTTGAACATTATAGGGATTCCCTTTCGTGCGCCCAAACGATAAAAAAAAAATATGAACGCTCATTTTTATGCTCAATTTATAGATTGGTAGGTGCGAATGTAACAAGGATCGACATACTCGTTTATAGCTGGCAACCCTATAGTTAGATCAGGAAAAATATAGGCAACCCCAACCTCACGTTTGCATATTCTATAGGAGTTGTACTCACAATTGATGTAAAATGTTTTTATTGAACAGATCAGTATAAATTTGGAGAAAAAATTGAATTTTTTATTGATTATAGTCTGGCCAGGATTTCCGATGTATCATTGTCCATCAATTCTTCCTCGGGTTTTTTAAATATCCGTTGTTATCGAAAATAATAATAAAAATGATATATCAGTGAATTCGCTGAGAGATTCTCTTCAAAATTTTATGGAGATATTCAATGTGTGCCATTTGAAATGATAGAGTTGATTGACAACAATTTTGGAAAAACTAAAAATGTGGAAACAGTGGTATTGACGTTTTCAAAAAAATCTGACGAGCGGTTACCGAGGTATTTATTTCGTTGCACACTTTTGCCCATCACTGTATAGATCGCGTCAGCATATACCGGGATATTCTTGAGGCAATCTAGTGCTACGGTGGAATTCACGACTCTATTCAATATTGTTAACACCAGTACTCAGATTGTGTTTCAACCGAAAGCAAACTTGGATGAATCGTGAATTGATATTGATGAGCTTCAAATGATAATGATGATAATAACTAAAACTACCTATTCACATTTCACACTATTGTTTCAGAAAATGATATTGAACTTTTTCAACAATCCTGAAGAGAAAATGCTTTTTTTGACAATACCTGCCACTGGCCTGCTCACTCCTTTGACACAGTTCAACAATCTGATCAAACAAAAATTCACATACTTCATCAGAAAAAAGAAAGAAATTGTCACGATGCAAAATTTTCGGGAAGTACTCACATTTGGTGATATGGGCGGCAAACCAGTCGATGAGCTGATAGTTCTCATGGAAGGAATATTTGTTCCAGTTTTATCCAATCCTCAGAACCAGAAGGGTTGGCCAAAAGTTGTCGCCGAAGATGTGGTTTCGCATGTACGAAACTTCAAAAACGTAGTTGATCAGGTAATATTCCACTATAGATGTGATACACAGGGTGTTTCAAAATTCGACCAACAACGCTTGACAGGTCATAACCCTCGTGATTTCATAATCACTGAGATAGGGACATTCGGCCTTCAAGTGTTCAGTTATCGAGATACAGGGCGTTGAAGTTAAGATATTAAAATAGTTTTTTCGCAATATCTCAGGAAAAATTGAATATAATGCATTCAAATTCGGTATATGGTTTCATCTTTCAATAGTTAATTTTTTAACCAGAAAGGCATTCCGAGAATTTCATCCAGAGGTGCGCTACAGGGGGTTGTGATAACTTTTCCGCCACTGATGAAATTTCAATTATTTCCAAATTCTCGAATTGATTGTTCAATTATGTTGAGAAGATGCATCACCTTCAACTGAGCTAAAATGAACAGTTATCGACATATTTGACCCAAACTAGAAGTTTGCATAGTAATTTTTCATCTTCCTCAGTAGTAGAAAATAACAAAAATGTTTGTTTTCCTTTTATGCGTGGAGTAACTATTTCTGTTCAGCTATTGGATGAGATCTGAATAGTATCTAATCTACTCAACACCAGAAAAATATTTTTGCAATTTTCTACAACTGAAAATGATGAAATATCACTATGCAATCTTCTATTTTGGGTCGAATATCTCGAAAACTGTTCATTTCAGCTCAGTTGAAGGTGGTGCATTTTCTGAACAAAATTGAACAATGAATTCGAGGAATTGGAAATAATCTAAATTTGATCAGTGGCGTGAAAAATATGAGAGGAAGACTTTTCACAACCCCCTGTAGGGCACCACTGAATAAAATGTCCGGAATGACTTCCTGGTCAAGAAATGACCCATTCAAACATGAAACCATATACCGAAGTTGGATGCATTGTATTAAATTTTTCTTGAGATATTTCGAAACAACTATTTCAATTTCTCAACTTTGACGCCCTGTATCTCGAGAACACTCGAAGACCGTATGTCCCTATCTCAGTGATTATGAAATCACGAGGGCTATCACCTGTCAAGCGTTGTCGGTCGAATTTCGAAACACCCTGTATATTATACCAGATGATGTCGAAATTGATTGATTGATTGTCTTCATTACCCCAAGAAACATTTCTGTTAATAATAGGAAGACATGGATACATGAAAAATATAATGAAGGGTTAATTAATGAATCCCACTCAGTGGAAACATATTAATATTGTTTTTTGAGATGAAAGTAATAACATTTCATTTCTGAGTAATCAAATCATGTCACATATTTTTCATTTCAATCCTGAGCAAGTATATTCTAATATTTATTTAAAACTTTCTTGCATCATGTATATTTTTCAACTCATTTGGTAATGATTTGAATACAATTATTCCATTGTGTAATACAGATTGTTTGCGAATGTACGACTTGAATGTATTTGCTATCAAGTAATTCAATTTAGACAATTGAATTCCCATATCCTATTTTCACTTCACTGTTTATACTCGGAAAGATGATTATAATATGAGTATGTGTGGTTTTAACTCTCAATTACATTGCTTGTACTAAAGTTCCAATGGAAAAGTTTTGCTAATCTTCATGTTACTTCAACATTGACGCTAAAATGGAAATATTGAGAATCAAAAAAGTCAGCTTCCATGAAATAATTTGAATAGAGGAAATTATGCAAAAATATTTCAGACATCATTTGGTTAGATCATGTAGCTATCTATCTTCATCAAGAACACATTCAATACCTCATTTTTTACTGTATTTTGTAGATTAAAGGAGCCATGAAGAGTCAAACCGTACTTCCAATGCCTCAAGGAATGTCCATGGTATTTCATGCTGTCCAAGAGTATCAAGATTCCGAAGGAGAAATATTGAACTTCCAGCTGAAATCTTCCCTTGAAAATGCTGTAATGAAATGGTCTACAGTTTGCAATGAGGTCTTGAAACAATCTTCAACTCTAGCTTTCGCAAATGGGGCCAACCCCACCCCAAAAAATGAAATGGACTTCTGGATAGCTAGAAATAAGAATTTGGAGTCTATTTATGATCAGCTTCGTGACCCTAGAGTAAAAAAAATGGGCGAGTTTTTGGAATTGACTAATAGTAGCTATACTTCCACATTCAACACATTGTTCAAAACTGTTGTGGCTGCACTGATCGAATCTAGAGATATATGTATGTATCTAAAACCTTTAATGCAACAAATTAGTAAATTTGAGGAGAACGAATTTTTCGAAAGCGAACAGTTTATCAATCCTTTACTACACTGCGCAGGATTGATTTGGGCTAACTCGAGGTATTATTCGACAAATGATAAGATTGTAGTGTTATTCAAAATGATATCAAATATGATGATTGAGTCTGCAGATAGAAGTCTTGATCCTAGCAATATATTTCAAGGGGATGCTGAAGAAATTTACGCGAAGTTACATACAAGTATAGAGATGTTCCAGAAATTTCAGGACTCCTTTGAGTATGTACGCGAAAATTTGCCATCTTACTATAAAGAATCAGCACCCGGAACTTCTGAAGAGGATCCTGTGGTTCAGAAAGCTTGGACATTCCATCGAAGGAACGTCTTTCAAAGAATGATAGACTTCACTGACAGATTGAGAATAATCGAAAATATACTTGGTACTCAGCTAGAGTTCTCCAAGTTAGAAAAAGTCGAGATAGGAGGACTGAATGGTAAATTGTTGTCGATGAAATGCGAAGAAATCTTTGAAGAATTCAACAAGTTCTATAACCTCTTCAATAACATTCAGTATGAAGTATTGGATCTTACAGATGACAGTATCGTTAAAGATGCAGAAAAATTCACAGAAAAATGTATTGATCTCGACAGACGATTAGCAGCAATATTTTCCCAAGCATTTGATGGCTGCTCGAATCTAGAAAGTATCTTCAAGTTCTTGAATGTTGTTGGAAATTTGATGAATAGACCAATAATAAATGCAGAATTGGCTGTCAAGCTGCACACTATTATTGATATGTTCAATTATGAGCTCGCTACTGTGAAGAAACTTTATGACGAAGGCATATCCGAAGGGATACCTTTGAACAAAAATTACCCAGAAATAGCTGGTAGTTTACTCTGGATAAGCAAATTAAGACAAAGGATTTCTCAGCCGATTGAAGATTTCAAGTTATTGGAAGACGGTATTGTCAATACGGAAGATGCCCTCCAGGTTTTCAAAAATGCTGATCAGTTGATGAATCTTCTCGATAATAAACAGAAAATGATCTTCGAGGATTGGTGCAAATACGTACCACATCAAATAGAAGAAAGCATGTCTAAATTCCAGATAATCAAACTACCATCGAAACTCATCTCTGTGAACTTTGATAAAGAACTCCAAGCTATTCTGAGAGAAGTAAAATATATGAGGCTCATGGAGATTGCAGATGTGCCAGAAGAAGCAAGGAAACTGTTTGCAGATTCGGAAAACCTTTGGGCATCTATAATGAAATTCAATAGAACTGTAGAATGGTACAACTATCTACGAACGAATACTTCTCGTCATGAATTCAGTTTGATAGAGCATGAAGTTAAAAATTTGGATCAATTATTGGAGGAAGTCATCAATCAGTATACATGGTTTACGAATGGTGAGTCAATGTCATGTAAACGCCTCGTATCATAACTTTACTTCCTTTAGTTAATCACTAGTCCACAGAAATTATAATTTCGAGTCGGAAGAATTATATTCTAAGATATACATTATTGGTGTGTTGAAAATTGTTTCAGAAGTTCTCTAGGTAGGAGGCTACGCGAGACACTTGACAACGATTGAACCAATTCATATTGATTTTACGACCAAGATTATATTTGGATTGGAATGAAGAAAAGAGCTGTATACTATTTTCAATTCGGAAAACTGCTTCAAATTCCTCTTGATTCATACATAATCCATCCTCACAATTCTCACAATATACGGCAAAGCTTTGGATTTCTTTGCCAATGGAAGTATTACGATGAAGTTATGACCTCTAAAATAGAAAAAAAAATCACAACACCTACCACCTCTTCCTATCCTCCCTAGGTACGCACGATGTTCTTCGAACATTATAGGAATTTCCATCTCGTGCGCTCCAAGAGATAAAAAAAACGGGAAGTTTTCATTTCTATATTGATAGCACAATTATTTTCAATTGCCACTCTAGGATTTGGCAGAAAAAAAACTGCGAATGTAAATTCCGCAGAGAGGATTTGAATAGCTGTGTGAGGTATATTTTCTCGTATTTGAACATTTTTATAAAATGGCAGAAATAGCGTATACAAATCATGTATGTGATATATTGTTGATGGATATCATAACTCAAACGTAGATCACCCTGTATATTTGATGTTCTCTCATAAATGTGGCAAATCGGGAATGAGAATCGACTTGTTTCAGGAGATTTCTCAGGAATTGACTATATGGGTGAAAATGAATTCATTCACTATACACAAATCCTATGTTTATCACACTTTTGAATTGAAATTTTGATAGAGATTTCAAGAATTGAATGTTTTATAGGGTGTTTCATTCGCGGTCATTACTCAAACGTGTTCATTTGATTTCTTTTCATGATTTTGAATAAAAAAAATCTACTTGCTACATGAGATTAATCTGAAATTGATAGTTTGGCTATGAATGCATTCATTCAGTACTTTACGAGAACACTGTATCTGTATCAAATATTTGTAGTCCTAGACAACTCTAGGAAACTAGATCTTTGCTGATGGAAGTTTTCTCTGCAAATTCCTGAAATTTATAGACTCATTTTCAAATGTAAGTGACCATTGCTGAAAATTTCCATGGGATTCAGAAATTTAAGATTCAAGATTTGTGTCAAGTTTCTTGATTGTCTTCGAAACCAATTCTGCGAGAGCGTGCAGAACGAGTAGAAACAGAATCACTTTCGAAAGGGCGAGGTTTGTAGTGGGGGAAGCAAAGATGCTAAATAGGGCAACTATCAGATTGTGGAGATTAGATGCGAAAAAAAAAAGATTATATGATATATGCCATTCCACTGGTAGAGGAAGCATGTACAGGTTTTCCATAATGTAAAAAAACAGACAGAAAGAAATACTCGAGCGCTTCAGATATTGATAGTGTATACGCATCACGTGTTTTTGAGAACCAAAAAATATTGATCTGCCGGTTCGCATAGTGGGGGTGCCGTATAATGGGGTAGAAAATAGGTGAAAAAAGAAATATTCGAACGCGTCAGATACTGAGAATGAATGCTTAGTGAACTCTCCCGATGTCAATAATCATTCAGCCAACATACTTGACTTATACCTTACCAATAATTTAGCACCTAACTCTATAGATGTACTAGCCCCACTAGGCAACTCTGACCAAACAGTCATTTCCACAACCTGCCCATTTTTCATTTCATCAACTACTCCGGAACCCCCACGTCTTGTATTGCATAACAATTCAGGAGATTTTTCTCCGAGACTCCTTGGCACAGAATATGCTTTGACTCTGATGATCCTTCACAGTGTGCTGCGAAAATATCTGAGATCATAACAATTGGAATGGACACATACATGCCTCATTCTTCGAAAAGATCATCATCACCTTCAAAACCCCGGTTCAACAAGAACTGTTCAAGAGCTAGATGCCAGAATAAGATCAAAACTCATAGATCGTCCCAATGCCTCCCGTTTCTTTTGGTCCCTCCCTAAAGCAGTCGAGAGGAATTTCACTAATAGAAATAGAAAATAATAGTTCATTCTCACCACTTGTCTTTAAGTAGTAATATGCTTACTCAATGAAAAAAATAGTGTTGGACTGGCTCCAAAGGCCTTAATTATTGTTGAACATTCAGAAATAAATGACTTCTTGGATGTTTGCTCGATCGAGGACCATAAAGTTTAAATACAAAAATCTCATATATATATATATATAAAATATCTCGTACACCTTCCCCAGGTAATTATTGCTTTGGTTTTTCAAAATGTTACTAGAGAAAGTATATCAAATATTCAGGGCATGGGTTAGTAAAAGATTTTAGTATAATCTAGATACAACTCGATAGATGGATGAAGTTTTTTGATTAGAATATATCTACGTGTTCTCATAAGTTCTTTTCCATGAATCGTTAACTGGAGGAATGGTTATACAAGTTTATCAAAATGGTTTATATAAAATGCGCGAAGAATGCACTTCGCGCATCGGTATATTTCGCGCACTGCTTTGCACATGGTGTCATGATAACGTAGGAAACTGAAAAAAAGTGTCACTACGCAAATTGTTATAAATGCGCGAACTATATCATTTTTTAGCGATTGTAAAAAAAAGTACCTACTTTTTCTATTCCCTTCGTAACTTGTAGGCAAATTATCATATTAAGTATTTTGTTACGTGAGATTCTACAGTTTCAATAATGATCCTGAACCCATGGAAAAAAATCAGTATCATAACTAACTAGTATGATGTTGAAAGGTTTGATACAGTGCATGGTGATCATCTTCATTAAAAGTGAATAGGAAACAGAAAATCGAATTTCTTTTGTCTTGTATCTAGATATGTATGAGAGTTCCCAACAAACTTAAAGAAATACTATGATAGTGTCATGACCCATGGCTACAGCTTGGTGACTTGGGGGTGAACTCGCTTGGGAGTTCACCCCCGCAGCTACAATTTATTGAAAAAAATAGTTTCATTAGTGGTTCAGACCAACAAGGCTCAAAACAAACGAATGAACCATAGTGAGTGCTGGCTGATCAGAGCCAAACTGTCTCCCTGCCTTATCGGCTGTTCGATATTTATCAAGACTATTCTGACATAGTCAGCGTTTTACTCCATATGCGAGTATTTCATTCCGTTGACTGAGCTGCCAACGTGAGTGAAGAATGTTATACGATGAAAAAATGAATAATGAACTTTACTGATGAAATCTCTCCTCGAATCAATATAATTTCGAAAAAAGTAGCTATGATAAAACATTTCTGGTTCCTATCGTGACAATAGCATAAAAAAAACTGAAACTGTGAAAAATAGTGTGCATGAATATTATTGTGCAACAACTTTGACATCGGATTTTTGTTCCTCATATTCTATTTTTCCATCATCCATAGCACACTTCCATGAAAATATTCCGTTACGAGGGGATTGTGGATTGAAAATATGATTGCAATATAATGTTGAAAATGTAATTTTATACTAATTCGTGATTTCCTGTTTCATATTTTTTACCACAGGGGTTCTGGAGAAATTTAGGGAAATCTTTTTTTCGTACCTCCGACACCGTGGTATCTCAGTGAGGATGCATTTTAGAACATACTGTTGATATAGCAACGTTTGACCTCAAGCTGGGGTGAGGAATCCGTGTACGAAGTTTGTCGGTCTTATTCTGATTCACCATGTATATATCTATTGTAGCAGTGGATTCATATGACTACATCGAACCATTCAAGAATAATGGTTTGTGTGTCAGTGCCCAAAACTTTGGGATGCTCTATTGAAATATCTTGAAATTTTAGTTATGCCACTGTCTTTCTAAGGATGAATTGGCATAACCTTTTGGTGCTCACCGAATGCGAACGCTCTTCGTTATGAGAGTTATTGAGCAACATAAACAGAGTGAATCAGGATAAAGATCACAGGAGAAATCATATGACTCAGCTAACCAATCAGAGACCACTTTGACATTTTTCGTATGCGTCGCTGGAATGACACACTATGAAGAATGAGAATATATGAAATGAAGCATTCTACGTGGTATATTCCACAATTGACGGATGATATAATCAATTTGAATTAGGAAAAAATATATAAGGACCATTCCATAAAACAAATATCCGTACAGTATACAGGGTGATCCACGGTGGATGGCCTATTATAAGTATCTGGAGAACGAAAAGACAGAACATTCTGAAAATTGAGATGCTTTGATAATTGAACATTCTCTATCCGTCTAAAATATTTTCATCGATACAGTGTTGCCACTTCTATCAGAAACAACTAGCAACTTTGTTTTCTCAAATGGAACACCCTGTATTTTATTGCATTTTTAGATTTTTCCTGAAGAGCTGATTTCATCAATGCATCACACTGAAGTCTAGCAAGAATGATTACAGAGATATAGGGTGTTCAAAATCGAGATTTTTCAATTTTAGGATTTTATAAAAAAGTTGCTAGTTGTTTCTGATAGAAGTGGCAACACTGTATCGATGAAAATATTTTAGACGGATAGAAAATGTTCAATTATCAGAGCATCCCAATTTTCAGAATGTTCTGTCTTTTCGTTCTTCAGATACTTCCAATAGGCCATCCACCGTGGATCACCCTGTATAGATGGCACCTCATGACGCGCGGTTGATATAACGATACAATGGGATGAAAACCTATATCAGGCAATAACAAAGAGAACTATAAAGTGGCAAGTGGATAAAGGAGTTATGTTACAAATATGAGTTCTTGATAAAAATAGGTTTCAGTATAGAAGTTAGCTGGCATTTTTTAATGGAAGCAAGTTTAATAATTTGATTTATGCAATTGGCGTGTACACCTTAGTAGAACTTTTAACTCAAACCATGTTTATAATGATCCTTTTATACATAAATAATGATTGACGACATAATTCGATCAAAAAATTAACTGGAATGTTTTATTTTTGGACATAAATAATACGACCTTCTGAAAACGGACCCTCTTATGACGTAGAAACCTCATCTCGCCATAGTTAAAAGAAAATACCAAACGCCCGACGGAGACTGAGGGAACTGATATATTAATTCTTTCAACTGTGATCTCGCGCTAATTCACTCTGTCAGAAATCATGTATCATTCATCTCTGTCTGGAATAGTCTTGTTTCAGTATTAGGGTTTTGACGTCACATAATCGCCTCGTTTTCACAAATTCGAAAAATCGGGGATTTCAATATTTTTTCATAAAACGTAGGGAGCTCACAGCAAAAAACGGTTTGCGGTGGTGAGCTAGTCTGGTTGAGTTCTATCGAATTATGAAATAAAAACTTCTTGTGATATAAGCCCATTGTGAGGAATAGTTTTAGGTTGATTTTTTATGATTCACAGCATTTTGATATCCATTGCGTAATTGATGTTTAATGTAACGTGGATGTAACATATCCTCTTCTACCTCTGTGTATCTATACAGATATGGGTATGGAGAATAGAAATAAATCCTGACAGGGCAAGTTACATATGCACAGAACAACTTCTTCCATGAGATAACCGAATATTTTCGGAAAATGTTACTTGACCCTTATTTCTTCCACTTGCCCTTTTAATTATGAATATCATTGTTGTGTAATGCACCATGACCTCACATGTTCAGGCTCGGTTGCCAGTCAAGAAATCTACCTCCAGAACATTCTCTTCAATTTCACTTGCGTCTACATTTCGAATATATTCAGAATGAAGAATTCTGATACAAACGAATATTGTTTGGATAATTCTGGTACAAAATTTGAAAATAACAGTTGACAGTTAATACAATTGACCGGCCAGACATATATGTCTCAAATTAATGTAGCTGTGTTTGATGAACTGTGTTGCCATGGTAATGTATTTTAGAAATCATGTTGCCATGGTAACGTGTTTAATATTTTGAATAAATCACAGATCGACAATGAATCGATCGTTTAGCGTGGTTACATATCCGTACGCTAAATGCCATTTTAGGTATGTGCGTGGAAAAATACAATTTCTTAATCATTTTGCTCGGGATAGTGTAGTACCTACCTACAACATCTCGTTATCAGATGACGGTCGAAATTTGCAGCAGGCTCTTGAACTTTTAGTAGTGCTTATGGAAGTCAGCAATAGATACATACGACGTATGTGATTTGTACTAGCTGTATGAACGAAACTGATCAACAAAATGAGAAGATTTTATATTCCGTGTACAATTTATAATATAATCGCAAACCGCTTTCGGCTTAAAAGCCATCATCAGTAGGAACAGACATACATTTAACAAAAAAGTTCCCTAATGGGTTATTGAGGAAATTTTTCAATAGTACATGTTGAAATTGTTTAGTTAGTTCTTCTTGGACCTGAACTAAGAAATTTTAACATGTATTCTTGAAAAATTCTCAAAATAACCCATTAGGGAACTTTTTTTGTTAAGTGCATGTCTGTTCCTAATTCCGTTTGTACCATAATGATGTCGATGTCGTCGATTACTAATTTTTGGACCTTTTTGTGAATACTTGACGAGTATAGCATAGGAAGTGCTTTGCGATTTTATAATAAATTTTACACGAAATACAAAATCTCTTCATTTTACAGATTCATACGACATACTCAGGATACAAGTTATCATTCAACTGAACCTAAAACTTCAACTGGATTCCAGCAGTGGATTATTCAACTCATAAGAGTTCGTTTCATGCATTAATTACTCCATTTGCCAACCATTGTTGATAGGGTGATTGTGAATATATTCATCCTGAAATTGAATAAACACACTGAGATTCTGAAAATGATTCGAAGTCTTCTTTTGAACGATGGAATACGTTGTTGAATTATTTTTCAAGATCCTTCCACGCCTCATCTCTAGAATTACTCTTTCTAGTACACCAGTAGTGGACATTTATTGGTAGTTCACATTCATTGGTGAACATACAACATCATCATTTGGAATAATCCACTGTAGATCGTTCGATTTGTGTTGAATAGAATAACTCATGCATGAAGCTGCATCAATGAAATAAGCCTCAATCACCACTTTTTGTAGGAATGAACTGATCTGAGCGTTGGTGACTGGGACATTCCATAATTATCACGGGTTCAACTATGAAATTTTGAAAAAATTCACCGAGTTTGATTATTTTTTTTTCAGAACCTGGTACAGTGAATGAAATTTACCAGACCGTTAAACAACTGACTGATAGGGTGAAGAAAGCGCAACAGAATGTGAAAAAACTATTCAGCAGCATTATCGAATGGTCGGAAAAACCACTATTCGAGAGAAAGGAAGGAAAAAAAGAAAATCTCATCTTTTTGGATGACAGAAACGAAAGAGTTCAAAGAAGAAGAGACCAAATAATAGCATGTTCACAAGAACTACAGCGAGTTGTGAAAGAAAACTACTTCCTGTTCTATCAAGAGGAAATGGAAGAGGAACAACCTGCTGAAGAACCTCCACCACCACCACCTCCACCACCAGAAAGTCCTAAAGATAAGAAGGGCAAGAAAAAAGAAAAACCAGCGAAAGGAAAAGACAAGAAGGAGAAGAAACTAGTAAAGAAAACCGATTCCGAAATAGCCCGTGAAGAAGAAGAGGCTGCTTTGAAAGTTGAACAAGAGAAAAAGAGAAAAGAACGCATGGCATTATGGAAACCTTACCTGAAGGATCTTGATAAAAAAATACGAAATCTCATCATAATTGCCATAGATAAAAGTTTACATTTCTTTCTATCAGAAACTGGGGAAATCAAACCTATCACTCCATTATTTGAACTCCTGATGGAACTCCACGAACCAAACATCGTTTTCGTACCTTCTGCTGATTTAGAAGATCCTGTGAATTTCTTAGTTCTTGTCGAAGGTTTGATTGATGATATTTTTTCAATGGGAACCTACTTGGATAGAGTGGACCCCGACGAAAGCGATTATAGCTACTGCGACGTGGCTAAGGATGAGATGGTGCTTCAAATGAGGTGCGATGAGATATTTCGAAAGATTGCCAATGGAATGGAGGCTGCATTAGAGTACATAAAAGAATATGAAGATTACGAGGTGTTATGGTGTGACGACAGGCAGGAGTTCTTGAGACAATTCCTCATCTATGGTCGACAGCTATCGTTAGAAGAACTGGATGTGTTGAAAGATGAAACGCAGCCTCCAATCAAAGAACAACCGCCTACAATAGTCCAATTCAAGGAGCAGATTGACTATTACGAAGAATTGTACAAAAAAATGGAACAAGTTCCTTACGAGAAAATTCTCATGGATGGTTGGCTCAGAATAGATGTGAGACCTTTACGTCAAGCCATTCTAAACACTATTTGTAAGTGGGGTAACCTCTTCAAACAACACTTGTACAATAGAGTCGTTGATAGTCTCAATGAACTGGAGAATTTCATTAAAGAATCTATAGCAGCTATGCAAGTTCCTCTGAGTGAAGATGATTACGATGGCCTTCTCAAGGTTATGGGATACCTATTCAAGGTTAAAGAGAGACAGATAGAGACGGACGCCATGTTTGATCCTCTGAAGCAGATCATGGAACTTCTGAAGGAATATAGTGTTGAATTTCCTGAAGAGATTCATGTACAGCTGCAAGAAATACCCGACAGATGGATTCAGTGCAAAAAGGTAAAGTCAGATAATCAAATGAGAAGGTCACTACATTTACAGGATTTATCATGTTATCCGTTCATTATAAGTGCTCAATGTGTCCATTTATAGGAAATTCTGAAAATTCAGACCCTAGACAAAAAATAGGTGTAATTTCGCATTGATTCACATATTCCTTCTCTATTCAGCATGTTGTGAGGCTACGTCCCACTAGTATACAACCAAGTTTGTAGCTCCGAAAGACCTAGACTGAAAGTGTGGTGCTGAAAAAACCCCGAAATTTCTTGACTTATTTCGGGTTTTAGCCCAAAAGTCGTATTCGGGAGGTTCCAGGCCTTTTTTGAAGCTGGATATATTTCCGACCATTTGATTTTTATTTGAATTGAATCGGTATGAAATATCTCAAGATACAGGACTTTTGGCAGTATTTTTCAAGAGTTGAAAATTGCAGTTTTGGCCCTCTTCTGAACAAAATATCGGCTCTAATACTCATCCTATGAGGAAAGTTATAGGATTGGATGTATTCCATCTTAGCTTTTAACCGCTCCTGAAGTTTCAAAATCCTATCTGAACAATTACGAAACAAATAACAGGGGTGCTTCCATTAGAAGTGACACACACTGTATAATGTTCATCTTGAGTCAATTCTGATCTTGATATATCTTCATCTGAAGTTTCAGCTTCAAAATGTGATTTCAAAAACGGGTTGACAACGTAAAAAGCTATGACTGCAAAACCACAAAGTTAATTTTTCGAGATCACTCTGTAAATGAAAGAAATACCAAGACAATTTGAGAAATGTCTCTAGGTGATGAGATTATCTTCATGCCTCTGCTGTCGAAGTTGAAGAAAAAGTTTTTGTTCATTTGAGATCCTTATGGAAATTCCGAAATTTTTCATAGTTTCAGGAGACACCCTGTAGCGATTTCATATGAAGAACTGGGCTAGCGAACAGTTTTATCCGAATTCGAATTGTTCAAAGCAGAAGAGAGTTATTCATATTCTAACAGGGAAAAATTTTTGGGGTTCGCCGAAATTAGTATTGCGTAGTGTATATAAACATTGTCATATGTCATATGTCATATGTCATATGTCATATGTCATATGTCATATGTCATATGTCATATGTCATATGTCATATGTCATATGTCATATGTCATATGTCATATGTCATATGTCATATGTCATATGTCATATGTCATATGTCATATGTCATATGTCATATGTCATATGTCATATGTCATATGTCATATGTCATATGTCATATGTCATATGTCATATGTCATATGTCATATGTCATATGTCATATGTCATATGTCATATGTCATATGTCATATGTCATATGTCATATGTCATATGTCATATGTCATATGTCATATGTCATATGTCATATGTCATATGTCATATGTCATATGTCATATGTCATATGTCATATGTCATATGTCATATGTCATATGTCATGTCATATGTCATGACATATAAAAGTGTTTAAAAAAACACTTTTAAACACTTTTATATGTCATATGTCATATGTCATTTGCCACTTCTTGTGTTCCATGCTCCACGTCATCTGTCACCTCTTGTGTTTCATGCTCCACGTTATCTGCCATCTGTTATTTCAAACTCAGAGAATTTATTTCATAAGGAAGCATATTAACTTGCTTAGGACCTAGGAGAACAAAACATCGCTGCGCCGAAGCCTCGGTACTCTCACCGCCTTTTATCTACATTTAGGATATTCAGGACTAACTAAATTATCCATGTATCAATTCTTTCTTATGTGTCATTTTGTAACATTATTATGGAATATTGTTCATTGAAAACCTTTTATTTCATGAATAATATGGACAAAAACACTCGTATCCTTCCTAACTCTTACGGAAGTAGTTATTTGTTTCACTAGGCAGAAAAGTACAAGATTCAATGCCGCGGCTGGCGTTTCATAGCCTAGGCGTGGTGGAGTCTAGGAATCCAGCCAAGGCAATACATCTTCTTTTCTGCCATGTGAAACATATAATCATTCCATCATTTTTTTGATCACCCAAAGTCATTGTCAATTTTGATTACCAATTACTACTACCAACTAGGCAGTAAAAGTACACCTTTTCTGCTTGTGGAGTGTTATTAAAAATCCACTCTTAATTTTATTTGGAGAAAAACGCCTTCTTCAACCTTAACGACTTGCATGACTATTGTGTCAACAAGAATCGAAAATTTTCACTTCAATATCTCTCGAGAGCAGTCCTTAGATGAATATGATATGAAAGAACTGGTATTATAAATCGAATTATGATTCAACGTATCATAGAACAATATTAATTTCATTTTCTTGTTCAAATACTTCCGTGCGTTGACATTTTATCTAATTCAATATTATCATTGAAACTGGATTCTAGATGAGAAGTATATAGTGCCTGAGAAGATGTCCCAAGCTGAATAAAAAAGTTGCAAATATAATTCCATATTCTCATATACTCAGTCGTATTAACTATTTGATAAATGTTTGGGGATACTGTTCCAAAAACAATTTTAATAAAATATCTGCATTATATAAAAAGACATTGAAAGTACTGTATCGTTTACCATATATGATACACCAACAAATCAATTATATAAAATAACTGAATCATTCTCATTAGAAGAAATGTTCAAAATCGAAAGACTGAAAATTACATACAATATCATAAATAAAAGATTGAAATCTAATTTTATTTTAACACGAAACAATGAAATTCATAATTATCAAACTAGACAACATGGTTTATTTCTTCTTGATATGGCTAATACTTCTATAGGCCAAAAAAGATTCACCCACGCTGCTCTCTTGGAATATAACAAATTACCAGATAATATAAAAAATTGCAGAAATACAATAAAATTCAAATACCATCTTAAAAAATTTATCATTTCTGAACGAAATAGATGACTTACTTTTGATTCATATTCAAATTGATTTTTGCTCAGCAATATGAAATGATTTGTCAAAATTTAATAATTAATGTTTTCAAATATTTTATTATTCATCTGTTTATCATAATTGTATAGTTTTAGGTATTATTGTTAACTATACTTCCTTATACCAGAACTTGATTCTGACTGAAAGTAACATTTTCAATAAATAAATAAAAAAAAATAGTTTATCAATATTGCATTTTCAGGTTGCTGCATCCACAAAACAAACTGTTGGCCCGCTTCAAGCTCTTCAAGTCAACGCCATCAAACGACGAATCAACTTATTTGAAATCCGACAAAATATGTACAGGAATCAATTTAAGAAGATGCCTTTTTTCCTATGGCGTTGTCAACATATATATAAGATTCTAGACAAAACGAATAAAGAGCTCAAAGAGTTGGAAGTAGAACGAGACAAACTTTATGAACAAGCTAATCTGTTCGAATTGACACTACCAGAATTCAAGGCTTTGAAGCACAGTAGGAAGGAAGTTAAACAGATCAAACAGCTGTGGGATTACGTGAACGTAGTGAGATCTTGCATTGACGAATGGAAGGAGACTCCATGGAAGAAGATTGATGTGGAGAACATGGAGATGGAGTGCAAGAAGTTTGGAAAAGAAATAAGGCAGATGGACAAAGAGTTGAAAGGTTGGGATGTCTATATTCAGTTGGAGGGCACTATCAAAAATATGTTGACCTCTCTGAGAGCGGTGACAGAGTTACAGAATCCAGCGATCAGAGATAGACATTGGATTCAACTCATGCAAGCAACGAAGGTAAATAATTTCTAGAAATATCATATTTAAAAAACCAAATGAGTTTTTGGTATAGAAATTGTTGAATGTTTATCCGAATAATGATCATCGTCATTACTTTTTCATCATGATTCCTTGCTCTCTTTAGGTGGCAGATAGGTTACCTTCAATCTATACAGTGAGTAATACAGACACTGTCGCATGATGGGGCTGATAAACCAACACTTCACAACTCAACACAACTACCACATCGATTCAAGGATGATACTTGAGTCCACAAAACCAACAACAACTCACAGCATGAGGCTTCCTCTTTTATACTCTATACTCAAAAATAAAACACTGAATAAAACTTTGCCTTTATTTCGATCTACCTCACCTTTTCTTCACCAGGTTCGATTCGTTATGGACGAAGGAACTACACTCAGTGACCTGCTAGATTTGAATCTTCATGAATATGAAGATGAAGTCAAGAACATTGTCGACAAGTCTGTGAAAGAGATGGCTATGGAAAAAGTACTGAAGGAATTGAACGCAACTTGGAATATTATGGAGTTTGGAACGGACGTTCACGAAAGAACTAAGTTACGTCTTCTTCTAGTCAGTGAAGAGGTAATAGAAACTCTAGAAGAGAATCAAGTAGCTTTACAGAACATGATGACATCTAAATTCATAGACTTCTTCCTAGAAGAGGTTTCTGATTGGCAAAAAAAATTATCCAATGCTGACCAAGTCATACAAGTATACTTTGATGTACAGAGAAAATGGATGTACTTGGAAAGTATCTTCATTGGCTCTGAAGATATCAGGAGTCAACTACCTGAAGATTCCAAGAGGTTTGACAGGATAGACAGAGATTTCAAAGACGTCCTTAATGAAATGCTAAAAACTCCAAATATCGTCAAAGCTACAAGTAAACCTGGATTATACGATAAGCTCGAATCAATTCTGAAAGACTTGACTCTTTGTGAGAAAGCATTGAATGATTATTTGGAAACAAAAAGGCTTGCATTCCCCAGGTTTTATTTTGTATCATCAGCTGATCTTCTGGATATCTTATCTAACGGTAATCAACCAGACTTGATTCAAAAACACTTGACGAAACTCTTCGATTCCCTTGCAAAGCTGATTTTTATCCAAGAAGGGGGTAAAAACAGCAAGAGAGCCAAAGCAATGATTTCCAAAGAGAACGAAGAAGTTGTACCATTTGTAAATATATGTGATTGCAGTGGAAAAGTTGAAGTATGGTTGAATAGATTGATAGATGTTATGAGAGCTACTCTACATCAGTTATTTGGTGATGCTGTTGTATCATATGATGAGAAACCAAGAGAAGTATGGATTTACGATTTTCCTGCCCAACCAGCACTATGTGGTGAGCAAAACATTAGAATCATTTTTTAACTCGAAATATACAGATCGTTTACCTGATCGTTACATATATAGGGAATCTGAATGGCCGCGTAGCTAGAGAGACTGATTTGGTCGGCTATCGTACGTCTTTGCCAGTGTTGCCAGGTCATGAACGAGATAAGCGGTAGGAATAAAGAAGCGGTAGATTAGGAAATAAAATGGTAGAAATAATTTGAAAATTGCAGTTTTTGCCAACTACTCGAGTTTCACTTGTGCAGGTAGGTAGGTAATTAACATAAGCCAAAAGAAAAATCAAATGATCATAATTCTGGTATGAACTCATAAACAATCAGTGAAATTGTTTGCCAAATGTCATTCTTTCATAACCCTTCCACTGTGTGGTGCCAAAATGTCACAAGAACTCTGTGGTGGGGTATGGCATACCCAAGAAGAAATAATATAACATACAATAATTGTTACTACTTTTTCGTGCTTTCAGATTTTTTTGTTACTCAAGTACACTTAAATGTCTTGACAATATTTTTGCGGACATTTGATTGTTCAGAATGAACAAATATTGCCAAAACATGAGAAAAGCACATTTCCAGACTTTCAGACACATTGTTTATTTCATGAAATCATCAAAATTTTATATCTGACTCAAATCAAAATAATACTCCCCAAGTTGAATGACAAAACTAAGAAGAACAGAATACAAAAAATAGAATATGAAAATATTCACAAATTAAAAAATTATGGTGGCTCAACTATAGCACAATTTGAACATGAAACATTTGCTTCATATAGTTCTGGGACAAAACTCAGCTCATCTCATCTCCATTTTCATGTATGATCTCATCATCACACAATCAATCGTTTTACGAAGATCCTCGACTTCACCACAGATTTAATCTGTGACTCCACCCTAAATCCGAAAAGCTACCCAAAAAACTCATGTCTTTATCTCATTGGTGCAGAAAACGTTGTTGCTCTTTTGAGTCCGACGTCTATAAGAGACCAAATGATTCGGTTCCATAAAAATACAAGAAACTAGCAGTAATAACAGCAAAATGTAATAGCTCATTGTCTCAATTTTCTTACACCAACTGCGTGGTGGGGTATATAATATCCTGAACAACTTACAAAGTTATAACTCCACTCCTGTTAAGATTAGAGTGAATATTTCACACCTAACATTTTCGACCAACTGTATTTTGTATCGTCACCATAGTAATTGAACAAATTTCTGGAAATTTTCTCCTTCCTTGAGGAAAGGAGAATGAAATTACACTGGACATTTCTGTCGATCATAGGAGACATGGCAGTGACATTCAACTTCAGATTAAGGAACAATTCTATAAGTTGATAAGTTCTTTGCAAAAATTTATATCCACCATTTTGAGCTAAATGATTATGTGAGAAACTGGAAGATTCAGCTATCGCATCAACTTATTTTTTATCATTCCATTGAACTAAAGTCGGTTGATTATATTTCATTCAACCGAATAATATTACGACGTGACCAAATTTCATTGATACTCAATAGTAATTCGAGTTTATTGTGAGAACATATATTTCTATCAACTTCAATGAAACAAATTTGTGAAGAATTCGAAAATTGAGTTACCATCAACTTATTTTTCAATATTTTGTGTAACTGAAGTTGCTTGTATTCTATTTACCATAACAATGTTATGGATGTGAATTTCATCAATACTGCATATTGCTTTGACTCACTTGTAACAAAATATGTTTCCACCAACTATAGTGGAATAAAGTAAGTCGAGAATAATGGTTTGATCTACCACCAGCTACCTCATTGATATTTTGCTCAACTGAAATTGTTATTCTGTATTTTATTTAGTGTAATCTTCTACTAGTATTTTTCCAATGATATTTCAGTGTGAAATTTCCTTACCGAATACAACTTTAGCTTCGATCAAGAACCGGGTATTTTTTCTCGAACACAAATAATCAGATAATTCTCCCCCGTCTTCGACTCGATGAAATTTACAAAATATTCGTGTTCTCAAAAAAATATCTGGTAATAATTGAAGCTCTGAGTGATACGTTGCTCATTACAATATGGGATATGGAACGAACAGCAATTTGTCTCTGTGAAACAATGAACAATCTTTTCAGAAATTGGCAACTGTATTTAGTACCCCTGGGGTATATCATACCTCACCACACAGACGAAGGGTTCACTCCTATGTAACGATTCGATAAACACTCTGTAAAACACTCTACCAACAGGTACCCAAATATGGTGGACGACAGAAGTGAATATGGCATTTGCAAGACTAGAAGAAGGGTATGAAAATGCTCTGAAAGACTATCAACGGAAACAGATCAGCCAGCTGAATGCCCTAATTTATCTTTTATTGGGCGATCTCACTGCTGGCGAACGACAGAAGATCATGACCATTTGTACGATCGACGTGCATTCAAGAGATGTTGTTGCGAAAATGATATTGATGAAAGTAGAAAATTCTCAAGCCTTTCAATGGCAAAGTCAGCTCAGGCATAGATGGGACGACAAACAAAAGGATTGTTTCGCGAATATCTGTGATGCTGAGTTTCGGTATTCTTATGAGTATCTGGGAAACACACCAAGACTCGTAATCACACCACTGACTGATAGGTATGTTTCAAATTCAAGAGAGATTTCATATGAATGCATGGAACCACATCGATCGGTAGCATATTATGCTACAAAATTATGCTTTTAGACTAGTGCTCAAGCGAGTGAAAACTGTGAAAAGTGGAAAAAAACCATAGTAGAATGAAACAGATTAGAAAAAAAGGAAAAATAACAGTGCATGATGAGAGCGAAAGTACATTAAGTGCGATCAAAGGTCGGGAAGTGGTTATGGGTGAAATTGATAGGGTAAAAAACAGGTTTTCTCCAAATGACATTGAAAGTGGATTTCTGATGACGATTAACAGGCAGAAAAAGTGTACTTTTACGGCCTAGGCAGAAAGAGTTTGTTGCTATGCACGTTCCGAGTAATTTGAATCAAATTGGTAATCAAACTTGACAATGATTTTGGGTGAACAAAAAATGATGGATTATTTGGACTTTGCATGAAATTGAAAAGGATATAGAAAAAAAAAATATATGATTCACTTGGCAGAACAAAAGATGTAATGCCTTGGCTAGTTTCCTAGCCTCGGCTTCGCCTAGGCTATGAAACGCCAGCCGCGGCATTAAATCTTGTATTTTTCTGCCTAGTGAAACAAATAACTATTCTCCACCAAATTTGGTGCGAATCTACCTTTTCATGTCCCGAATACACTGTTGTTCTGTTGATTCAAACTATATTTATTTATTCGTCTTATTTTGTTTGTTCCTTGGGATCAATAATAGTTTCTTATGCAACAAGTGCAGAAAGTGAATGTTTATTAGGCCGAGTTGGACAACACGTCGAGTGCAATAAACAATTTTTGCACGAGTTGCATACATTTTTTCGATGTTCATGCAAAAAGCAAAAATTGATTTATTGAGGTGCGTCACTAGGTGTAGGAAAATGAAAAACGCGACTTGAATACTTTATTATTAATATCGATTTGCATTGAAACAGGAACTAATACGTTACGAACAATTCAGCTCAAACTTTATTTTTACCCTCAATATTGAAAGTTTATGAACAATTGGTGCAATTTTCAATATGGATATTTCGTAGTGAAGTACTTTTTGCAATATAAAAAATGTTTGTCATGATGACAGCACGTTGAAGTAGAATGACAGATGAGTGCAATAAAAACTTTTATGTACTAAGTGCAATAAAGAACTTATTTTTCCACTAAATATAGTTCAATAAAATTCTGCTTTTTGCAAGAATATAGAAAAAAAAATTTTATACTTTATATCTGAAAAGCACCCTAATTTACAATCGAAAATTCTTGCGTCAAAATATCTGCTTCTTCAAGAAAGTTGATGAGAGTTTTGTTCTTTGAAATGTCTTTTTTCTGATGCTGTTAAAGATTAAATACATAACTGTGGTAAATGTTCTTGAAAAATTTTTCAGATGAAACCCATTTTATTGATTTAGAAATATATTCGCATGTTTTTTTGCAATATTAATGGATTTGAATTTTTTTGTTCTTCAATCTCACATGGAATCTCACATTTTTCGAGTGATTAGTGTTGATTTGGATGAATAGCCCGAAATTGTACATAATAAATGAAAAAAATTCGGATTCCAATTTCGTTTCTTTGTATTTTCTGAGAACATTTGACCTAGTGGAGTATATATCTTCCACACCATCTGAAATGAGAGATTCCAATTAACAAAAAGGGCTACCAACTTTCTTGGAAAAGCTGATATTTTGACGCAAGAATTTTCGATTGAAAAGTAGGGTGCTTTTTCGATATTGAATTAAAATAGGGTGAAACAATTAACATTTCGAATCGAAAAAATGTATTTGAGACATGGAGAGGTGAGTTTTCACCAAATTTCGTGGAATTTGTTTCCTTTTTGTAGAACATAACAATTAAAATACAAAGAATTGGTTATTTAATTTTTCACATACATTTTGAGGATATGTAAAAAAAGTGTATTCACAACTTTGCATTTTGACATCTTTCTATAGACTTGTAGCTGTGCCAAATATCGAGATTAACCGTTTTACACCCTTAAAACCTCACCCCTTCCACTCCCCAACCTCAGATCGATCGTAATCCATTTTTTCTTTGATTTTTGTCATATTCCCTCTTGTTTTCCGATAGCATTCATCCTACTATAATTTTTTTCGATTTCACAAATTATTAGCCCCGGCCTATTTGTTGTATGGAGCATTGAAAATTATCCTGCATCGCACGCTGACAATGAGGGCAAACATTATTCATTGCCCAATAAATCCCGCCATTGAAACGTGAGTTCAGAGTTGCTAGAACTGATAAATTAATATTCTCCTTCTTTTCGGGTCATTTGGCCTATTCCTACGATATCTTCTTCTCCATTATTGTAAGAATTGGTGCTAAAATTTGACATTGAGAGTACAAGATCGTAAGTCTCCTTGTGGTGGTTATACCACAATATTAATGATTTTAATATAATAAATTCTCTGAAGGAAGTTGTCAGAAAAATATTATTTATTGATTGAAAACAACATGTCAAAATCATTGCCATGCCATGTGATAAAATACAATCTTGATCTTCATTACGATTCAATACAGGGTGGAATAAACTGAAAGTATGCCACAATACTCCCCCACGACGAAAAGAAAACCATAAGAATAACTGTACTTATTGACTAATCAATTAATTGCAAAAGAAACTCTTTTATTGCCTACTCCTTTCAATTGATCAAGATCAGAAAAATTGTCGTCCTTCAAAATGAAAGCAGGTTTAGTTCTATCAATGCTTACGGTCACTGTTTTTACATTCTTCTGTATGGTGATTAATTTGTTGGTACGATTCAGAACTTCAAATGGTCCTTCATATGGAGGGGACAAACTAGAACGTTTTCCTTCAACTCTTATGAATACATAATCGCAAGTTTTCAAGTCAACTGGAATGAATGTCCGCTGTGTGTTATGTCAGTGGCATGTTGAAGGTTTGAGAGAGGAAAAAGTTTCTCGGATTTGAGTTAGTACAAAAGAACTATCAAGACAATCATTAACATTTGAACTGACAAAAAATTCAGCAGGAAGACGCAATGGCTGGCCGTAAACTAATTCAGCAGAAGAACAACCTAAATCCTCTTTTACAGCATTGCGTAATCCTAAAAGAATAATTGAAATTTCATTTATCCAATAATTTGTATTGCATCTCGCTTTCAACGCTGTTTTCAAACTTCTATGGAAACGTTCAACCATACCATTACGTTGTGGGTGATAGGTGGATGTATGTATCTTGTGAGCGTCTAGAAAACCGACAAGTTCGTTGAGTATTTTAGATTCAAATTGAACTCCTTGGTCTGTAGTAAGAGTATGCGGTACACCAAATCTACAGACATAATTTTGAAAGAAAGTTTTAGCAATGGTGTGCGCCATAATGTTTTCAACAGGAAAAACTTCTGGCCATCGAGAAAAACGATCAACTATTGTTAATAAATAACGATACCCATCTGAGACTGGTAGTGGTCCTACTATATCCATATGAATATGTTCGAATCTACATTCTGGAATCGAAAAGTTTTGAATTGGTGATTTAGTGTGCTTATTAATTTTTGATAATTGACAATGTATACATGATTTTGTCCATAATTTAACATCAGTATTCATATGTGGCCAGAAATATTTGCTATTTAACAATTTTCTTGTTGCACGAATACCAGGATGGGAAATTCCATGTATTTTGTCGAAAATAATTTTACGGAATTCGTTTGGAATATATGGTCGTTGTTTAGAATTAGAAATATCACACCAAATCTTAATATTTGTGAATGGTATTTCTATTTCTTTCAGGGAAAAGTTGGATTTTGAATTATTCAATAATTCTTTCAACTGTGGGTCTTTGTTTTGAACTATGCCTAAATCGGTAATATTCAATTCGGAAAATGAGTTATTTGAAATTGTGTCAATCTGACTGGTAGGCCTGGACAAGGTGTCAGCAACCACATTGAGTTTTCCTCGAATGTGTCTGATGTCAGTGGAAAATTGAGCAATATATTCCATTTGTCGAATTTGGCGAGGACTTCTATCAGTGTTAGTGTTTAGCGCTGTAGTTAATGGCTTATGGTCAGTAAAAATGGTAAAGTTCCTACCTTCTAAAGAATGTTTGAAATGTTTGATCGCTGCATAAATTGCGAGAAGTTCACGATCGAATGTGGAGTAACTCTTCTCTGTGGCACTCAATTTTCTCGAGAAAAATGCTAAAGGTTTTAATGAATCGTTATTACTTTGTTCAATTGTAGCTCCAAGTGCAATATTTGATGCATCTACTGTAAGAACAAGATGTGCATCATCTACTGGGTGAGCTAAAGTAACAACATCTGCTAATTTATTTTTAACATCTGAAAAACTTTTTTCACATTCACTGGACCAACAAGTTATATTCTTGCTTTTACTTCTTTGTAGATCAGTTAAGAGTGTGTAAATTGGTACCAAAGTTTGAGAAAGTTTTGGAAGGAAACGGTGATAATAATTTATCATACCAACGAAACGCTGCAATTCTTTGAGTGTTTTTGGTTTTGGAAAATCACGAATTGCCTTGCTCCTATTTTCTGATGGAGTGATTCCTTCAGCTGAAATTGTATGGCTCAAGAAATCTAATTTATGTTTGCCGAATTCACATTTTGACGGTTTTAGATTTATTCCAAAAACATTTAGCCGTTCAAAAACTAATTTCAGATGATGTAAATGTTCATTTTCATTTTGACTTGATATGAGGATATCATCAATGTAAATAAAAATGAAATTGAAATCCTTGAGTATTTCGTTTATGAACCGTTGGAAAGTTTGTGCAGCATTTTTTAAACCAAATGGCATTCTTGTGAATTCAAACAATCCAAATGGAGTGGTCCCTGCAGTTTTATAAACATCTTCTTCTGCTACTGGTATCTGGTGGTAAGCCCTTACTAAATCGATTTTAGAGAAAATAGTACATTTTTGGGCATGTAAATTGAAATTATGAATATGAGGTAACGGGCATCTGTCGGGAACAGTCATTGTGTTTAAATGACGATAGTCCCCAC